TCCTGACCTGATTACAACTCACATGGCAGAGTGCCAGTGCAGCCAAAAGGGGGAACTGCATGTGGTCTGCAGTGTTTGCTGCCCTGAGCAGAAACAGCCGGGGAGAGAAGTGGGGACAGGAGCACCTCTCAGCACCGGCTGCTGGCAAAGCCTGCCTTGCAGCTGCGTGTTGGGATAGCAGCTTTACTTGCCACGCAGATATGAAAGCACAGCACACTGCACGTTCCTTCTTAGTTTTGTCTTTAAGGATATTGCACCATTCAGCTATGGGAGAAACAAGAGAGATTATGTAGCACGGAAAGGATTGCCTAAGGGGCTGTTTTCTAAGAAGAAAAAGATGACATGGACACAACAGTGCCGCTAAGGGTCAGGTACATGGAGCTGCAGTGAGCTGGTAGGAAGAGCTGAGCGTTAGTGAGGAGAAAAGGAACATCCAGAGTGAGTGTGGTTATTGCAACAGTTTGAAACAGGGTAAAATGGGTATTTCCCACTGGGAAGTGAAAAGGCCAGAGCTGGAAAGGAGGGACTGCAGGAGCAGGGAAGGAGAACTACTAAGGAATCCAGAGTTTTGTGGCAGGCGAACCAGGGTGCCAAGGTGATGCTAGGAAGAACAGACTAGAAAGATGCCATGGTACAAAGAATGCATGGGAATTGGGTTTGTGTCTAAGGAAATGCTGCTCAGCGTTACAGCCCATGTGCGGTATGATATCCCTTGTGTTGACAGGGAGTCTGGTTATCTGGCAACATGAGCTCTGTTATCAGAAATGTACAAAGATGTGTATGGGAGATTCAGACCACGAACCTCATGTTAGATGAAAGGCAGATTAAAATGCTGCTTTATTTCAGAAATTTTAGATGAACACTAAAGGAGTGTGTGTGGAGACCTTCTCCCACATGGAAAAATACGAAAAAGCTCCACAAAAAAACCCAACCACACGTAATACCCAGCATAAAGATTGTAATGTGTGTGGTTTAATCCAAGAATCCTCATTAAATAAATAAGCTAAACTAAAATCTGTAATATCTTTGAAACAAAACTCATAATTTTTTTTTGTTAACAAACACCTTTAATGGAAAACGAGGAGGCCAGAAGTTTGGTGAATGTCTCCAGCCCCTCTACAGTCATGAAATCCAAATTAGCTCTATGTCATGAAGAAGGGAGTTTTATCTTGATGTTTCTTACACCTTTTGAAGATCTTCTGCACAGTTGACTCTGTTACCACATTTGTCTTAGGATCAGCTCTTACCAGGAAAAGCAGGAAACGCTGATGTATCATGGTTAAGATAGGTTGGCCTAAAGCCGATCACAATGTCCTTACTAATGGGATTGTGTTTCCTCTTTCGTATAGGCTACCTATCTCAGTATTAAAAAAAAAAAAAAAAAAAGCTGTAAATAGTCGTCAGATTCTCTAGGCAATTTTACAGCGGGTACATGCTTGTTGCATCTGCATTATTTGAGGCAGTAAAAGTTTTAGAGCCTTCCTCTTCAGTTGTTTGCCACTGTTTAGCTGTAACTTGCTGCTTGACACATCTTGAGTTTTTAATAATTTTCTGTAAGTTCTTCCTGAATTTCGCCCCCATGAAGAAATACAGAACAGGGTTAAGACAGCCATGGAAATATGCAAGAGCTTCTGTTATGATTATTGCATATTCAAAGCTGCTGTACAAGTTAAAGCTCCAGTCTATGATCTTTATCAGCCTCAAGAAAGTGTAGGGTGACTGAGTAAGAATAAATACAGCAACTACAGAAAATATTTTTTTTAGAGATTTGTTCTTTTGAAAACTCCTGGCATGCAGTAAGGTTCTAATAATTAGTGAGTAGCAGGTGATCATGGCTAGCACGGGAATAAAATAGCCAAGGGTCACTTGGATCACTTCAAGAACCAGTTCTGTGTGATGGTTTGGGTATTCTTCCTGACATATGGCCTTATCAATGCTAAACACCTCACTAAAAATAAACTGCGGTGCAGCAAATGCTAATGAGATCACCCAGATCAAGACACAGATTAATTTGCCCCATGTCACTCGTTTGGTTTGACACATATGTGCTTTGGTGGCAAAAGTAATAGCAATAAGCCGGTCAAAGGTGATAGACGTTAGAGTTAACATTGAAGTGTACAGGTTCAGAGTATACAACCCCCGTATGATACGACATGCCATGGTGCCAAAAGTCCACTCCTGAGCAGCAGAATATGCCCAGAATGGCAATGTCCAAAGGAAGACCCAGTCAGCTATAGCCAAGTTCAGCAAAAATATATCTGTCAGCGTCTTCAGTTTCTCGTAGAAAACCAGTATGACAAAGACCAGCGCGTTTCCTGCTAGCCCAAGGGTGAAAACAACCGAGTACATACAGGGCAGGAAGACTCTTGTAAATGTGTGAAAATTCTCACTTCCATCTTCATTAGCATCAGTGATGGAGAAGTTATAATAAAAGTTAGCAGCATCTGTCGTTGCCATGTTGCCTTCTTTTTAAAGGCAGCCTGTTGGGAGACACATGGAGAATTTTTTTACTCGACAAATAATTGAATCCTAATGCATCCAGCAGGCAGGCAAAATCCTAAGTGCTAACAGATAAGAGCTGTGGTAAGACGTGCGTGACAGACAAAACCAAATGTATTTATTTGCTGAAGAGTGTTGTCTTGACCGTCAAGCCCCAAACAACAGCTGGTGGATTTAAACACATTATCTGTTACCAAACTTATACTGACAGAGACTCAAAAGATAAACAAGACAATTACAGAGGCTTCTGAAAACAGAATATGGCTTGAGCTTTCAAATCCATCAGCAGTTTACTGTTTGGATCAAGGGATTCTGGAGGAACCCATGAGAGA